ACCCTGCTTAACCCTGCACCCTTCATCTCAGAAAGTAACAGCATTATCCACTCAGCTGTGAATCAAAACCCTAGATAATTCTTGATTGCTCTCTTGTTCATACCCACAACAGGCAATCCATCATCAAATCCTGTCTTTTCTCAAGTGCACCTGCTTTAGGCACCTTCATCTCCCACCAGTATTACTTCAACAGCTCTTCAAGGCTGGAAACTGTGACTCTCACCCAGCAGTCAGAAGTGATCTTTTTGAAAATATAAATTACTTTACTCTCCTATATAAAACTCTCCAGTGGCTTCCCCCAGCACCAAGAATAAGATGTAAACTCACGCAGCCCACAATGCCTTATACGATCTGGCACTGCCTACCTCATTGCTGACCTTTCCACCACTTCATCTCACTCTGCACCATCCACACCAGCCTCCTTCCTGTTTATTAAATGAACCCACATTTTTTCTTGCCTCACTGCATTTGCACTTGTCTTTTGCCAGGAAAGCTCTTCCCTTGGTTCTTTGCTCTTTGTTCTCAGCTGTGTGCTTATCTTTCTCACTCTATCACCGTATTTACTTTCTTCATAGCATTCCTAAGACCTAAAATTATTTTCATTTTTGCTTACCTGTTTATCACCTGTCTCTCTTCATCAGAACATCACTTCCATGTGGGAAAGGACCTTGTCTATCTTACTCACCACTATATTCCCAGTCTTAGCATAAGATTTGACACATAATAATCACTCAATAAATATTCATTGAATGAATGAATAGCTTTACTAAAAATTTTGTGTAACTGTTGATAATGCTTTCTTTCTGAGCAATTTAGTAGCAATGCTGACATTAAGTCATCATTTTTAGGATTTTGTGAAGATGCTTAAGAACAACTGAACTTGTTATGAAATGAGAGCAGCTTTGTCTCAGTACGTCACCATTTGTGGAAGGACTACACTTCCCCTGTTGCCGAGCAGATGCAGTTTTTTACCTAGCAATATATAATCAGTTCCCACGTGGAAAGGATTTTGACTCAGTATCCGAAATCTCATAGGTAGTGTCCCCCAAATCCAAAATCCTTGCTAGTGTTCTGAATCCCTTCTGTTTTATCATTTAACCTTAGTTCTTGACCATTATTCCTCAAATTCTCTTTTGAATTCCAGGCCTACTGTTTGCCATTTCCACATTGCCTGATTCCTCACCCAATTGTCTGTCTACCTCGAGTACCTGTCTTCTTAAGCACAATATGAGAACCTCAGATTCCATGACGGTAATAAGACAAGATGTAGCTGGATGTGGCCCATGGGAGACAAATGTAGATGTGCTCTACAATGCAATGAGTAAGGTAGTGGACACTGCTCTGGCTCCATTGTCCTTTTGGGTCTATCTCTTAAATATCTCCCAAACCCATCCATTCCTCTCTATTTCTACTATCAATATCTTAGACTAAAACCAACAATTTTTGCTAAGACTACTCATTAAGAAGATGTAACAGTTCTAAACTTATATGTACCTAATAATAGCCTCAAAATATATAAGGCAAAACTGATAGAACTGCAATAAGAAATTGACAAGTCCAATATCATATTAGAAAATTTTAACATAACTCTCTCAATATTATTGATAGATCATGTAGGAAAAAAATCAGTAAGGATACAGAAAATTGGAACATCACAATTAACAAGATTAATCTAACAAATAAATACTAACACTGCACTCAACAATTTATGAAATGTATGAACATATATAATACACAGTGACCAAGATAGGTTTATTGTATGAGTTCAAGTATGGTTCAACATTAAATCCATAATATAATTCATAATATTAAGTAGAAAGTTAGAGGAAAAAAATTCTATAGATTAGCTCAATAGATACAGAAGGAACATTGCAGTTAAAAACAAAAATAAAATACCTCTTAAACTGCAAAAAATTGTCTATAAGTAAAAAAGAGTTAAAAAAAAAACTATGGAAAGGATAATATGTG